TCCTTTTAATGTTTATTTATTTATTCACTTACTTCTTTACTTACTGAGGCAGGGTTTCTCTATGTTCCCCAGGCTGGTTTTGAACTCTCGGGCTCAAGTGACCTTCCTTTCTTAGTCTTGGGACTATAGGCACGTGTCCAGCTGTTGGTTCTCTTTTAAAATAGACTTTCTTTTGAGAGCAGGTATTGGCTCATAGCAGTACCGAGTGGGAAAGCCTGAGAATTGCTATAGCGCCTGCTTTTGAAAGATTATTATAAAACTACAGACTTTTCTGTTCAATTCTGCATGAGGCGCACCTGGCCAAGATTCCAGATCCAGCTCACGCAATGAGCTAGTCGTGTACTTGAAACTAATGTTAGAAGAATCCTCATTTCATTAAATATCTACTTTATATTTCTTTTTATTAAAGAACAACCACGTAGATTATTTATCCTTGTTAATCTTAGAAGGTATTCTGTCGCCTGGAGTATCTAAAAATGATTTTGTATTTACACAGTGATGCTTTTGCTGCTTTTTGCAAAGGGCTTGACTGTTTAAAAATTGTTAAATTGCATTAACCTGGTTTAGGCTTTATGTAAGCCACGGAGGAGAGCTGAAGGGCTTTAGGCTCCACTCTTCAATCTATTTTAGGATCATGTTACCTAGCGCGGAGAACCAACTATCTCCATCAGAAAACATCACAGCTGTTGGATCGCCCGGAGCTGCGCCACAGGACAGTTTAGATTAGGAAATGAAAAAGAGTCGCATGACCAATTGAAGTGACAGAGAGAAGTCCGCGGGCAAGGGAAGGACCGTTTTGGAAGGCAGCGCCCTTTGCAACAAGATAAACCTGCTCTCGGAGCAAAAGGGGCGTGGGGGGGGTGCTGAGCCCCGAGCGTAGCGCGTAGCGGTCGGGTTAGCTCCCGGACCCGCGAGGAGATCACGCTTCTAACTGAGCATTGCTGAATCAAGGGGCAACAGGGCGGGTTTTTCTCCGGAAAGCTGAGACTGCTGGGTCCCAAGATCCCGGTCCTGCACCCCCGCCCCCGCCCC